AATTAACAACAACAACATACCACGACATCGAGTCTTTGCTGCAATGAAATGATCTTGTTCTCGAGGCCCTTGTTGAGTTTTTGCAAATGACCAACCGAACGTGCTTCAATCTGTACGAAGATGAAAAATGCAATGCTAACGCAAAGAAACATTGACGTGAATATCGAAAAACAAACAATGATTAATGACGGATTGATTAAAACGATGCAAGAAGAAAAGGGATTACTGATGTGGCTGAAATACTGCAAGAATACTCTTGAAAATTTATCAATTCGACGATTTCATTATTAATCTCAATGGCGTATGCCTTCAATCGGTACTAGAAACGAAAGTATTCTCGAAGATAACCTTCAGCTCCTTCAATCGTCGTTTCGCCAACCAACGTCTCACCAAGCACTGTACCTTGATAATCTTACGATTTCGTTCAATTTGCTCTCGTCGCACCATCCAACCACGGAAGTATTTTTGAATAACAATCGCCTTCTGTTCATAACGCAACTGAAATGCACAACAATTACCTCAACTTTGAATTCACAATGCAGAATATACTCGAAAGGGCCTGTTCGGTAACAGCAGATCATATTGATCCAATTTCAACGACAGATAAGCACTATCATTCAAGGATCAATATCAACGGTAAATCATTAAGCACTCAGACTGATCAATTGCTGCCGCTGTTTCGACGATCTTGCAAAAACACTGAAAAGAACTAACTAAACGAAAACATTCCATCAGCAATGCATCATTCATCAATTACGAATCGAAGTACACGAATGATATGAAATGCTGCTACTAATGAAACTCATAAAATATTATCTGCTCATAAGCTGAAAAGAACACATTCAATCCGTTCCGAATCCCCGCAACATCAATTTCACAAAATTAATTTGAACTTTGCTGCCGTTTGATATACCAGCCCTTGGTGTTATCATATCATGCGATTGAAGATGCTCGAAGAAACAAGTGAAATTCTCCAACGGACCACAAACCTTTTCAACCTTTTTCCGTATCACTGCGCCACGATAGTGCGTCTGAATCATCAGAATTGTTCGCCGTAGCATCACATATCGTTTATGAGCAATGTACCGTCGATACGCGGTTTGAATACAAATCGCAGCGCGATGCATTTGCAAGTACTTAATGCGTCTGTAGGCCAAGAATGCACGAGTGATAGCCTACAAAAATTTTTCACATGACATATTCGGAACGGATTGAATGTGTTCTTTTCAGCTTATGAGC